ATGAGTTCGGTTTACAAGGGTTAATCTCTACTGAGGCTCAGAGTTACTCCATGCAAACATCTTGGCAAGGGATGGGTTACAGGAATCAGTGCCAAAAGGAGAAGAGCTGAGCTCTGGGCACTGTGCTCACCCCAACTCTGCCTCTCCCACCCAGACAACTCCCTCAGCACCCAGAAACCAAGGGCTAAACCCTCCCAGAACCTCAGTGCCACTGACCCAGCCGTGAAACGCTCAGGAGTTTAGCATCACCAAGTGTGAAAAGGGCACAGATTGGGCCGAGAGGCCCCAGAACTGCAGGAGACTAATTCCAGCTGGAAATGCTTCACTCAGCAGCCTCTGAACCCACATTTCCCATCTTGCCTCTAGCTCAGAATAGCTCAGAAGTTACAAGTTCGCCAACATTTACAGACTTCCAGATTTCCAAGAGGATTTGCCACGTGCCCTTTGTAAACCAGGCAGAGCTTCCTCCCAGCCTGGGCTGGTGGTGCCAAGCTCAGTTGGCTCCTCTGTGGCTCCACACTCACCCTGTGCTGCCACAGCACAGCAGGACCCAGGGACACACACTCCCAGCTCCACACCCCGTGCACAAACAGCTTTGCTGCAATGCTCAGGATCCAGAAGCTTCCAGACACTTGGCAGAGACCTCAAACTGCTCAAACACCTCCAAAATGACTTTGTATTTGCACATTATAGATTGTGACCAATGTGAACACACACAACTTTCACTCCTTCTTCCAAGCCCTCCAGGAACCCCCAGCAGAGCAACTTTGAGGCTGTTTTATAAGGACAAAGCACCACATTTTCCTCCCTGTGGGCCCTGCAATCTCCACATCCACACGCTGAATGCAGGACCAGAAACCATCCCCAAAGTACAACCTCAGCCTGAAAACTAGTTCTTCTCTCCCATTCTCCAAACCTGGATTACTTTTCCTCTAAAAGTCCAAATCATTTCAGGGATGGTGAACAGCACAAGGCACTTGATACAGCTCCAAACAAACACGTTTGACTCCAACTGAACGCAACGAGCACTTCCCCCCCCAACTTCCCAACTTTAATGCATGTTTTTCCCTGCAATAGCACCAAGAGCTGTTACATGAGTCCATTTTGCCTCACTCCAGGGAGGTTGAACTTGAAGGTTGGACTTTATGATCTGGGAGACTTTTTCCAACCTTAATGATGCTATGATTCTATGGCACAGACTTAGCTATTGCCAAGAGACACAGGAACTCCTAAATTTCTGCTGTTTGAGCCAGAGCAACTCCAGCAAACTTCCCCCATCCCTAATCAGTCTGTCCCACCTGCACATTTATCTCAACTGCAGCCTCAGGAACTCCTGCAAGTTGAGAGCAGCAGGACCATGGCCAACCATGCAAATCGAAAACGCAAGGGAAAAAGGGAAGATAACATTTTTGGCTTTTTTTTTGCTGAAAATGAACCATTTTCTGGCCACATCTTCTCCAGAATCAGCATTTGTGCCCTGCAAAATTCCCTGGGAGAGCAGAAGGCTGTGAGAGATAGAGGTTAATGGGGTTGGCAATCCAGAGCACGTGGGAGGAGCTGAAGGCACAAGGGTTGTCCAAGGACCTTGGTGGGAAGGGAAGGAATTGGGGCCACTATCACCATCTCCATTATTACAGCTTAATAACTTGCAGGCTGAGCTGCCTGAGCAGAGATTAGCTCAAGGTGCTGAGTTGGCAGCTCTGGAGCTGCTCTGGTGGGTGAGGAGAAACTGGGCAGAGGCAACAGCTTCCTATGTGTTCCTGCTCCAAACTGGAGCACAACTGGGACAGAGCAGGAGATGCTGGAAAGGGAAGCTCAGTTGTCCTCTACTCCTCAGCCCTGGCATGGGTAGTGCCCATGCTGGGTAAAACTGCTCCAGGGGAGCAGCTGAGCATTCCCAGGGGGGAGAAAGGGGAATCCTCTCTATTCTCCATCCTCAAATACTTGATAAACTCAGGACTTCAAGCCAGGCTAACATTCAGCACTGCCTTCCCCACATTCCAAGGCACCACACATCCCACCCCGAGCACATCCCTCTGTGTCCACACAAAGCTTGGGGTGTTTTCCCACTGAATTTCATAGTTAAGTGAGCTGAAATGTGCATTGCAATTAAATCCTGCTTGGCAAGGAGATATTACCCAGCCAGGAACATTTTGTATCCAGAGTTTCTCTTTCAAATGGAATCAGTTTGCCCTAAACACATCCCACAGTTTGCTGCTCTGGAGATTTAAGGTGATTCCCATCTGGTATTTGCCTCACTCCCAAAAAAAACCAGATGCTGTGAGCACTCCCAGGACTGAGCCACTCTCACTTGAGGCTGAGTGAGCTTCAAATCCAGTTCATCTGTTTTGCTTCACTGGCTTTTGTAGCCAAAATCCAACTGAGTGCAACATCCCAGCAGTTCCTCTCTGACTGACTTTGCGACACAACGAGCCATTACAGCCTCTCCCCTAAAAACTCTCTCCAAAGTGTTCCATTCTGCTCCCATTTGAATCCAGATCAGACTTCAACTCGAGGCAATTCCTCCCCTTAGAGCCCAAAGGTCTCTCCAGTTACACACACGAAGCAACTCCAAGTTTTGCTGCTGCTTTTAGAAGAACCTGAGGGAAAGCTGAATGGACCTGATGGATTTCCCTCCTAGAGGGAACACAGCAGTGACACACAACATTCCACGCACACTCTGACACACCAACCAACATTCCTGACACACCAACCACTAGGTACAACCACCACAACAGGGAGACCCAAAAAAAGGAGTGTTATCAGCCCAGAAGTTCTACGATTTCTCTGCAGGGACAATGAAACTCAACTAGAGACAGAGATTGGTTCTCCCTCTGTAGATATTCTAACAGGACCTTTTTGATGTTGCCCCCTTATCCCTACTCCTCATTTTACAGCAGTAACAATTCCATTTTCAAAGTTCTTCCCACCCTAAAGAAGCCCAAGGTTGTGTCCCACCAAGGCTGTGCTTGAGCAGCAACATACAGTATATATCAAATCCACACACCCCAATCCCCTCCACAGCCTCTTCCAGGAGTTAGTAAATGCTTGTGAATAGAGCACTGGGAGGAGGTGATGCAGCAATGCAGAGGGAAGAGGGGGAAAGGCAATCAAACTTTTTAAGAGTGACAAAGTTTTAGAGATTACTGGAGAGTCAAATGAAATGTTCGAGGAGATCATTATACAGAAACACAGCGAAGGAGGAGCCAGAGAACTTACACACTGATGTCTTCTGGTTGTTGTCCTTGCTGGGCATCAGCTTCACCCCTCTGGACTTCAGCTCCATTTGCTTTTTGACTGCAGGGGTGGATGGAAAACAAAGGAAAGACAAGGAGAAGATTTAGCTGAGCATTTGGGATTAGGTCAAAAGAAGATGAAGCAGCATTTGGAAGCAGGAGGTGGAGTCACCATCCCTGGGAGGTGTTCAAGACATGACTGGAGGTGCTCAGTGCTCTGCTCTAGTTGACAAGGTGGTGATGGGTCACAGCTTGGATCTGATGATCTCAGAGGTCTTTCCCAACCTAAATGATTGTGTGAGCAGTGGTACAGCAGCCACACTGCAGCATCTCCTGGATCCTTCCCTTACAATCAGAGTTTTAGGGGTTGGAATAGACCTCAGAGATCATCCAGTCCCAACCCCTTGGGCAGGGACACCTCCCACCAGAGCAGGTTGCTCAAGGTTTTATCCAAACTGGCTCAGCCAACTCACCCTGAGCCCCCAAACCTATGAAAGATCCTTTGCATTTACCATGTTAGGGCTGGATTAGTGTCTTTGGGGCTCTCTGAAGATAAAAATGAGACCAAACCCTCAACCCTCTGCATCTGTGTCATTAGCACACTAAGTATGGGAGACACAGGAGAGAGAAGCTCTAAGGAACTTCAGGGATCCTGAAATTAAAAATGCTGAGCTGTTCCACCCCTTGTTCCTGCTGCAGTTATTCCGTGAATACATCAAACAGCAAAGCCACTCTTTGCTTCCACAGGAACACCCAGAGCTGCCAACACGCTCTGGATAAACAGGAGATCCAAAAAGGCAGGAAAACAGTAGAAAAAAGTAATTAAATCCATATTATTCAAGAGATATAAAGATCTAGGGATGTTATTAACAGCACATGGAGTATTAACCTGGATGGTGACTCTATCCAAGGTCCTGCTGCGAGCATTCACCTCCTGCTCCAAAGCTCCACCAAAAGCTACGAAAACACGAGGGAAACACCAAGATTTCCATCCATTTCTCCATCTCCAAGAGTCTCATCCTCCTTCCAGCAGGGAACTCCCCACATGCTGGAGCAGCTCTTTGTTTCTGTGCTCTGGACTTGGCTGTGCTGAGGTTCTCTCTGCACAGGAGGATGTTCCACCAACCCACACTGGTGAAACCATCTGGAGAGGAGGAGAGGCACAGGGAGATGACAGAACACACACCAGGGAGCTTTGACTCACACCCAGGAGAGCTTTTACTGCCATATTTGTAGTGGATGTGGTTACAGAAGAGCTTCCCAGCAGAAACACAATGGCCAAATCACTTTCTAGGCTCCTTTCCTCTGATGAGCCAATCCTTATCTATGGAGAGAACCAGCCAAGCTTCCACTTCAAACCCTCCTCTTGGTGTTCTTTATCTTGTCAGCCTTTCATCCCTAAATTAGCACATTTCTAAGACAAAGTTGTCAAGAAAAATTACTGATGTAACTAACAAGGGTGTGTTTTTTTGAATCATGCTTTTTTTTTTTTTTTGGGCTCCAAAAAAACAGCCTGTTTAGAACATCTGTTCCCAGGAGCTTCAGACAGGAGATGCTGAGCATCACTCCTTGAAGCTCACCTGAGGTAGTGCTTTGAGAGCTGCTGGATGGAGCTTTTCATTCAGCACTCGCTCACAGCTTTTGGCTTTCTCTTTAAATAAAGCAGCAGTAACTTCACACTGAGATCTGTACCAGCTGGAAAAAAATAATCCCGAGGAAAAGCTGATGTTGTTCATGTGTTTCTTAGCAGCATTAGTAGCTTTAATCTGTTCAAGGGGGGTTGCCTTTGGTTTCATTGGAGAGAAGAAAACTAATTAACTTTCAAAGCAAGTCTAACACTTGGTCCTTTTTTACTCTAAATCCACCTGCAGGAGGAGGAAAGCAGCAGGTCTCAGGATGCCCCAAAGAGCCAAAGATTCCTGCAGGTCAAGCATGGGAACAACAGGAAATTTCCAGCCTGACCTCAAGGTGTTTAGAGGAAGGACAAGAGGCCCAAAGCTCACACTTTGGGGAGCAAACATCTACTTGTGCCTCAGCTAGGATGGTGACAGGTTATCCTGCAGCCCCTTCCAAGCACAGGGATAACCTCCCAGTCCCAGCCAACACTCCCTGCCAGGCAATGGCCAAGTCTCCAAGGCTAAATCTGAGCTCTTGCAGGATGTGCCATGACCTGTGGCTTGGCAGGGTCTAACTCGTTGCCGTGTGCGAGTGCTTTGGGGCACAAGGAGTGAGAGAACAGCTCTGGCAAAAGAATCCTCCGTTTTCTATTCCCCACACCTTCCCACTGCAAGTTCCTGTGTGCAATCCCCAGGGAATGTTCCTGCTATCCACACAGGGTAAAGCACAGGTCTGGGGAATTTGGGGGTGATAAAGTCAACCTGCAGCATTAAAGGGCAAGCAAAGCTTCCCAGTGCAAACACACACAGGGATGGATGGGGTTGATCCTGTGGGTGAGATAACACGTCCCTGGGAGGGTCAACACGTCCCAGTGGAGGGTCAACACGTCCCTACGGAGGGTCAACACGTCCCTACGGAGGGTCAACACGTCCCAACGGAGGGTCAACACGTCCCATCAGGACACATTGCTCAACTACAGCAACCTGCATGGATTTCAGCAGTGCTGAACATCCCAAATGCAGCAAAAGGCAATGGAAAGTGTCCCTGCCCAGGGCAGGAGGTGGGATGAGATGGTTCTGAAGGTTCTCCCAACCCAGAGCAGCCTGGGAATCCCAGGGATCCTGTGATTCTCTGCTGACCCAGCCCAAGAGGAGGAAAGGAGGCTCAGGCAGGGCTGTAGTTAAGAGCAATCCCCAGGAAGGGGAGCAGAGGTTCAGGGAATGGATTTGCTGTGAAATTGCTGTTTTCCAAATTAAAAATAAATAAATGTCTTCTTAAATTCTCATTTAGAGCTACATGAAATGGTTTAGCAGAACCAGCCCGGCCTGCCTGCTCGCTGGAAAGGCTTTGTAATGTCATCTCTCCAATGTGACAGGATGCTGAGTATTCCATTAGATCTATTGGATCTGTGTGAGCAGCAAAACCCTGCAGAAAGCAGAGCTTCTGTTCAGCCAATTATCCTGACACAGCCCTTTGTAGTACTGCTCCACATTCCCATTCGCAGACAAAACACATCTGCAAACAACAGAGTTTTGAGGGCAGAGTAGGAGAATTGTTCAGAGAATCAGAGAATCAACCAGGTTGGAAAAGACCTCCAAGATCACCAAGTCCAACCCTACTATAGTTACTAGCCCATGGCACTAAGTGCCACATCCAGTCTCAGCTTGAAAACCTCCAGGGATGGTGAATCCACCACCTCCCTGGGCAGCACATTCCAATGCCTGAGCACTCTCTCTGTAAAAAAACCTTCTCTGGAGGAAGGGAAGTGGGAAGTGGGTAGTGGGAAGAGGGAAGTGGGAAGAGAAACTCTCTGTATGGATTCCTCTCCAGTCCCTTTGGTTTCCATCTATAGGACATGGGGAAAAAGCATTTGGAAGAATGCAAGAATCATCTTAACAACAGGGAAAAGGAGAGGGGAAGCACTGAACTTTGCCAGGAAGGGAACACACAGACTGTTCATCACCCCCTGCACAGGCTGATTGCATCTAACCTTGCTTGTGCATTCCTGGAGCGATTTCCAAATGAGGCTTGGATTAGGGAGAGCTGAGAGAGAACAGCCAGGGAAGGTGTTCTGCAAAACTAGGGATCAATTTAAACAAGCTGGAAGGGAAATTGTTTTCTTATAGATTATCAGCAAAGCCAGAGATTGTCCCAGAGGACACGAGGTGTTAATGAATGATGTATAGACACGTCTTGGGGAAACAGACAACAAATTAGATTCACCCTAACCCTTCCCTCCTTCTCCTGGACAATCCTGGGGCTGATTCATCTCTCCTGATGAAAAATGCATTGTAGCTGCTCTGCTTTGTATGGCATTGCATGTCCTGTTTTGTATGCACTTCTCTCCATTACAATATTGATGTTCCAGCAAGGTCAAGCTCCTGTGGAAAGGTGATGCTGAATTGTTTGAAGTTGTGTTGGCATCTGCTGTTCCACAGCCACAGATCCCACTGCCTGCAAACCTGCCCTGATACCTGGGAGGGGTTTGGGGGTTTGTAGCTTGTTTTGCTTTCATTTAAGAATGGAAATCTTCCCTAACAGCTAGAAAGAAGCTGAGAAACTCCACAAAAAAAACCATCAGCAGTGGAAGGATGAGTGGCAGATCCTCTCTGCCAGCTTAGACTGAGGTCCTGCTTCAACACCACCTCAAGAACACATTAAACTCATCTCTTCAACACTCCACACACAAGAGCACAGCTCATCCTATCTATCAGCTCAGTTTCCAGGGAGCGTGTGAGATGAGAAACCCCTGACATTTATCTAATCAGGGCAAATTATAGCATTAATTGTTACTTCTCTATTGGAGATGACTCAGACAGGTGTTTTAATAGAAAGCAGCACTCATGACAGCAAGGGAAAATGTACCCAAAGGCATCAGCACTGCCTTTTGCAGCAGTTTGTGCTGCACAGGAGAAACAAAAAGGGTTTGTTTCCTCATCATTTAAAGCAATTTATATGTTTGAGGGAAGCAGGAAAGTGAAATAAGTGGTGGCTCAGAAAGCAAAGTCTCAGTTGAGGCTATGACAGCAGTGGCTGAACAACCTGAGAACATCCAAACTGGGCAGGTCTGCACTTTTAGCCAAGGAAAATCCTTTCCCTTTCACTTTACTCCTGTCTACAGCTGTGGCACTTTTTCTCCCCAAAGTCCTTCCCTGGGAGGTGCTGAGGCTCTGGCACAGGTTGCCCAGAGCAGCTGTGGCTGCTCCATCCCTGGGAATGTTCCAGGCCAGGTTGGATGGGGCTTGGAGCCTCCTGGGCTGGTGGAATGTGTCCCTGTCCAGGGCAGGGGTGGGATGGGATGAGTTTAATGTCCCTTCCAATCCAAACCAGCCTATGATTCCATGCAATCCATGCTTTTAGGGATTTCAGCTGGAAAACTAATGCCATGAGGATCCAGAAGGATCATGCAGGAAGTTAGCTGCAGATTCCTAGGAGAAGAGTTTGCTGGTGTGAGGAGTGAGAGCAGACAAGAGCATTTACCTTGGTACTGGGCACTGAAGCCTTTCTGCCTGTGGTTGCCATCAGATGTGAAGTGAAGCCGCAGCCAATTCTTACTGCTGATGACAGGAGCAGGTAAGTTCATCCCAGTGAACCTGCAACAAACCAACCAGGAACAGGTCAAATCATCCCAGTGAACCTACAACCTCCAGATCATAATTCTTGGCTGAGTTATCACATGCCAAGTCTTAGTCTGGGACATTTCCCCAAGTCACAGCATTGGACTGAGGTGTACAATGGTGACATTCCCCATGGGAAGCAGAACATCACCAAGGCTAAGGCTATTCTGGGATCCTCTTAATGAAAGCCCAGTTAATTATCTAATCAGAGACTCCCTAATTTAAGCATTATTAGCATTCCAACCCTCATGGATTTTAGATGAAGGCAAAAGGATTTTTTCCACCCAAAAGGACAACCCAGCTGAGATATCACACATTTTTCACAGCAGACCCAAGGGCCCACAACACATTTGAAGAGTCCTTCACTCAACCAGCACCTCCAAAGGTGAACTCACCTTCTCCAAAGCAAACAGCAGAGCCAAGGGGGCACTTGCAGTGGATTTATAATGGCAGAGGAACTGCAAAGTCAACCTGATGTGCTAATGACCCCCCAGAGCTGATTGTGCTGCATAACTAATGTGTCTCTGCCACTATAGTACAGACTCCCTGGGCACCCAATGCTGAGCTCTGCACTGTGCTGAGCCATGGCTGAGAACATCCTTTCCACTCTAAACCAGGTTTTCAGATTGCTCCTGGTCATTTCTCTAGTGATTATTCTCCTCTCAATGTCTCAGCCCTTTGTGAAATACAAAGTGTTCCACAAACAGATTCTCCACAGCTCTTTGCCACCCTTGGGTAACTCCAAAGGAGCTGAACCAATTCCATTGGAGACTTTTGCAAATAACTGAGTTCAAACAAATATATTTGAGGCTGAGATCAAACCTGGGATGCCTAAAACTGATTCTGAGGAGGTTACTGTGGCTGTTGTTATGACAACATGCTTAAACTTAATATCCTTCCCCCCCCAAAGGCCATTTCATTATTCATTCTGAATCAATAGTCAAACTCCACATAAATAATCTCCAGGTATGCAGAGCTCAATTTTGCTTTCATAGCTGTGGAGAGCTGAGTAATCCAATTGCCTGATGGAAAAACTAGAGAGCAATAAACTCAAGCTGCCTGGATGAGGCAGAAATGCTCATGTTCCATATCCCTATTTACTGGTTTAATTTGCACATCTAGTGAGCAGTGTGGTCAGCAGCCTCAGGCCTGGGAATCTATTGACACCTACACTTCATCCTCATGGAGTCACCTAGGCTGGAAAAGAGCTCCAAGATCATCATGTCCAACCTGTGACCCATTCCCCCCTTCTCACCTAGCCCAGAGCACTGAGTGCCACGTCCAGTTGAACACCTCCAGGGATGGTGACTCCACCACCTCCCTGGGCAGCACATCCCAATGTTTAACAACCCTTTCCATGGAGAAATTCCTCCTGATGTCCCACCTGAACCTCCTCCAGCACAGATTGAGGCCATTTCCTCTCATCCTGTCCCTTGTTCCCTGGGAGCAGAGCCTGATCCCACCTGGCTGCACCTCCTGCCAGGGAGTTGGAGACCAAAAAGATCCTCCCTGAGCCTCCTTTTCTGCAGGCCGAGCTCCCCCAGCTCCTTCAGCCCCTCCCCACAGACTGTCTCCAGTCCCACACCCATCCCAGGCACGTGAATATCCCTCTATGAACTTCCAAGGATCCCACACGCTTCAAGGGTTAGAATCCCACCAGCTCAGTGAATGAAAATCAATTAGCAAATTTAACAGATTGCACTTCTTGCCACCTTTGCAGCAGCATAAACAATTCCTGAAGGCAAAAGCAGGAGCAGAGACAAATAATCCATCACAAGCCGATGCTTCGCACCCACTTGGTGCTGCCTGAAAGGAACACACAAGATTTAGGGGGAAGGAGAATGTTTCCCTGACTTTCCTGCATGGAAATGTTCCTCAGCTCCATATGTCATTTGCTGAAGACACTGACAGCTTTTTGAAAGGGCTAAATCAGCCAAGAAATCACTCTCAGCTCCTCATTTCCACACACACACGACACTCTTCTCTGCAGCTTCACTCTACAACTCCCTTTGCCTTTCATGTCTCAAGTCAGGCAGGTGGAAAAATGCAGAATATAGGGATTATTCCCCCTGGAAGGCACTGCCCAGCACCAGGCTGGATGGGGCAGGGGCAGAAATGTCCTTTGGCTAAGGAATGCCATGGCTGCAGTTCCCACCTGTAGTTCTCCACCAGTCTGGCACCATAAGGGCTCCCCCACATCTCAAATAATCATTAGGAGGCATTAATAGTTAATTGATAATGGAATATTTAATTACAGACAAACAGAGTCGGGCTGAAGCAGCTGCATGAGCTCTGAATGCAAATGCCCTGCCTGCTGGGCATGGAGGGAGCAAGGGGAATGGGAATCTTAGCAGGTGAGAGAAGCAGAAAAGCAGAGGAAACCCCAAATCTCCTGCTGGAGCTACCACAGGTTTGGGGGGACAACCCTGGCAGGTCCCACCAGCACTGCCCGACCCATGGGCAGAGTGACAGCCTGACACAAAGGGAGTGACAAACTCTGGCTGTGGAGACACACAGGGCACAGGGACTGCACCACCAGCTCCTCAAGGTCACAGGATTTCTCTTTACAAATCCAACTCTGCCTCAGTGTCTCCAAGAAAACAAGGAGCTCCATCAGGAGCCTTGGGAATGCACCAAGCTAACCAAAGGGAGCTGAAATTCCCTTCCATCCTCCCAAGAACACTTCTGTACATCATGTGCTTGGCATTTCCAGCACCAACCATCAGCCCAATAAAGAGTTCCCAGTAGTCCAGTGAGTCATGGAAGTAAAAGCCCTTTTGGGTTGGATCTTTGCCACTGTAGCCCTCAACATTCCAGACTTTTCTTCTCACTTTTCTTCTTTTGAATGTCTTTGAGCAATTCAAATCTCTTCCAGCCTCTGTCTGTCCATTTCCCACCTCTCTCCTCCTCCCCTTTCCTGCTGCCACCACCAGCACATCCAGACATGGAATGGTTTTGGTTGGAAGGACCTTGAAGCTCAAGACCTTTGGTTGGAAGGACCTTAAAGCTCAACAAGAGTTCCAACCCCTTCAGTGGTTTTGCTGTCACCACTGTGTGCCCACATCTCTCACAACTGATTTTATCCCAAACCCTTTCCCACAACATTTTTAACCAGAGCACTGAGATGTTTTATCTTGAGTGAAACCAAAGCCTCATATCAAACAGCTCCTCCAAGTCCTTCGTTGCATAGTACAGGGAGGTTAATGGTACCAAAACTCCTCTTTGGAGTACAAGCACTGAAGTGTGGCTTTCTCAACCCTTTTCTCTCTTTCTTTCCCTGCTCTTGCTCTTCCCCCTGAATCCAGGCATTAAATATTTATGCTGTTCACTCAGGCTCTGCTCCCCTGGCACAATTAGTATTGCTGTACATGGATGGCACTGATTAGGCTGTATTCACGTACCATTATCTATTTACAATCCCAATTCCTCCTTTAATTTGTTTCCACATGGAGGGAAAGAAAGGGAGGGGAAGAAAAAAAATAAATCAATAAAATGTCACAAAGTGAGCTAGAAGCACTAGAGGAGAGGAAAGAGGTATTTGCAGACAGAAGATCCAATTTTCACCAGCCTGGGATTGGATTAGCAGGAGTTAGACTGTGGTACCTCTGAAAGGACTCAAAAATGCCACAGCCTCCACTTTCCTCACACCTTTTTCCAGCCAACCATCTTGACTGTTCAGAGCTCCTTTTCCCTTTCAGTGAACTCAGGAGCTCTTTATCTCACAGTGTATCGTCACTCACTTCACTTGGAATTTTAACTTTCCATCCAAACCTCTACTCCAATCACCCTGAGAGCTCTACCATGAACTCCCAACATCTTCTCTGAGCATCTCGACTCTCTCCAACACAATATGCTTAAGCACCTCTAGACCTCATTTTTCGGTTGCAGGAGACACCTCATCACCGTGGATTTTAACAAGGAAAATGACTAATTAGATCAAGTTATTGTTCCTTATTTAGTGCTGCAGGGATGGAGAGGACAGAGCTGCATCTAAACTCTGCTCAGTCACAGGAAACACAGTGAGAGGTCTCACATCACCCAAGCATCAGGTTGTGCCATGGGAATCCTCATGGATTCCTGTAAAAAACCCTGGAAACAATGGAAATAAACTTCTTGCACCAGTCAGACTTGGCATCAAAAGAAGCACAAATTTCCTTCAAGGCTTCCAAGTCCCTTCCTTAGAGCAGTGTAAGACCCACAGTGGAGCTCACGGACCATCTCAGCCCCAGGGACAGACTAAAGCAGCTGGTTTCTGCCAGAGGAGCACTGCACTCCTTGTTTGCTGTAAAGAACTGGAATTTGCTTTAGAAGACGAGTTATTTACAAATGGGAATGTGAAAAACTTGGTGGCATGTCCATAATATCACCCTCCAAACTCCAGGGACTCTGGTGACACCAGAGCAACTCATGGCAATGATGGAACAGGAGAGGTTTGCTCAAAATCAATCCTACAGCAGTGACTGTAGGACTGGAAAGGAAACAACTCTGGTTTGGATTTCAGCTTTATTCCAGGCTGTAGCTTAAGGGTAAATCCCTCTCCTGATGCAATGTGGCCTCAGCCCTTTCGCCTCCAACCCTCTCTCACCTTCTGGTTTCCTCTCAATGAACTACACTGAGCTCTTAATAGAGATTTCAGCTTTAACTCCATGAGCAACAAATCACTCCCAAACCTTCCAGCCCCAGTGACACCTGCCTTGGCTCCTTCCAGGGCTGCTGCTGCAAGGGAGCTCAGATCCATTTATCACTCACAGTTTGCTCACTCCCTTCTCCTTCTCTTTTCCCCCCTGCATTCCATCAAAGGATGAAAGTGTTTCCATGCAGCAGCAAAACTTCACTCATTGGCATCAGCTTTAATCACTGCTCTCTCCCAGATAATTTTGCTGCTTAGAACCTAATTGATACCTTTTTTTTTTTTTTTTTTGCAGGAACCTTTACACTGCAGTTCTTAATTCTTCCTTTTTTTTTTTTTTATGTGC